ATAAGAAAACATTTGAAGCCTTCACGTCATTTGCACTGTTATTCTTTCTGGGTGTTAGATAAAATTAGTAACTGAGTACAATGCAAAGGGAGTATGATGTTATTAGTTAAATTCAGAATTCAGCAATTGACAGAAACCAGAACCAACCACAACATAATGGATGCTTAAGTTGAGTAGGTCTGATGGTGTATAATTTGCAGAGTTTGCAAGGTCATTAATTCCCAGTAATAGGTCATTAGGTCATGTATCAGTACGTGTAGCATTTTCTTTAAGTCTTAGTTCCCAGTCGTGCTACGGTATGCTCAGTGATTATTTAGAATTTCTTTCTTTCGGCTAGCTCTAGGAAGGTGTTGCAGATTAATTGGTCTGATATTCTTCATTTACCTAACTGATAACTTCGGAATATGGGTTCAAATTCAGCAACATATTATTGACATTTTGTCCTTCAAAATTTCAGGAAGCATTAAAGCCTGTAAGCGTTCTGCTTTGAAGTGTGATGAAGCAAAATTTGAGCAATACAAACTTGAAGTTGGTGGCTTCGTTCCCCCAGAAACCTGTAGTTTGGTGGAAAAATGCTTTCAGAAGATCAAGTTTTTGGAGAGCTGAAGAAGAAAGGGCTCGGAAAGTGTAACACGTTTAGAAGGTCATCTTTTGCTATTCACGACTGCAGATGGGGAACGAAACATCTTGCTTGTGGTTTCTTATCTTTCATTCTGTGAAGGGTTAATTGCAGAATTTACCTGCTTTACTATCACCTGACTGCAGATAGACCCCTGCTGTTTTGTTAGTGCGCATAGATCCTCTTTACTATTTGCCAAGTGGGGATAGATCCCTAAGGCGATTTTATTTATTTACTGTTGGAAGAGTTGAAAAAGTCCCTGTGCTCTATCAACATCAACGAAGGTACATAGGTTCATCTGCAATTGAGCGATAGTACAAGGGGTCTGTATGCAATTAACTATTATTTAACTTGCATTCTGGAGATATTATACGGGCGAAAAGCTACAACTCAAACTGTATTAAAGGTACTTGTTCCATAAGCATGTCGGATTGACCAAACAAAATTGGTCTGACACCTGCTTATAAGCCTTGTGATAATAGACTATTGTAGAGACACTACTAGTTGGTGGGTGCAAATGTTGAGGTGCTTTTAAGTGTTTTTATCTTGCAGATGGTTGCTAGTTAGATAAATGGGCATTGAGTTTATTTCCCATATTGGCAAAACTATTTGGATTCAAATTGGATCTCTATAAGTCCTGAATATACACGGGACTACTGGTCCCTTGTATTCACTGGAGGTTCTACAAAACACATGGGACTGGTGGTCTGTGTACATTAGGACTTAAATAAATTTTACAATTAGCATCCGCTAATTACATGAGACTAGCATACATGGGACTACTAGTCCCGTATATTTTAAAGTCGATAGTTTACAAAATCAATCTCTTTTAGCTAGTTTTAATGTTGTGACAAAAATGATGTCTAATTGTTAATTATTTAGCTAAACGGTCAATTTTGTTTACTAGTTAAAAAAGGTCTTTTTAAATAAATTCTCCTTTAGAAAGATGTCTGCATCTTGTACAATCAAAGTAATGGAGAATTTATTCGGCACTATCCCAAAATTCAGACTGACAGTCATCATCAATCATCAAGAAAGAAATAATATTAAAAGCAAAATAATTTAAATCTGTGTTATGAGAACAATTAAGAAAGGACATAAATACATAACTAATTTTTTGTAGTGAAAGAAAAACACACACACACACACAATTATATATTATATATAAATTATTATATTAAATATTATATAATAATATATATATATATATATATATATATATATATATATATATATGAAAATGTATCCTGAGCCGACTCAGGAAATTCCTAGCCTCTCAATCTATGGCTGGTCCTATGGGAGCTTCGAGCGTAGGGATTTTTTGAAAAAGCAACACAAGAATTAAAGGCTCATCTCTTCCTGACCTTAAAAGCTCTCAGATCCCCAAATTTGTAAGAGCTCTCTCCCCAAATTGAGATCCCAAATAAACCTCTCCTCTCTCTCACTGCGCTCCAGTCACGGCCACAGTCTCCCGTCGCGACCCCCTCCTCTCCTCCCTGCTCTCTCTCTCTCTCTCTCTCTCTCCTCGCCCCACTAACGCGGACGCCCCCCGTCGACCGACGCCTCTCTCTCCTTCTCTGCCGCCCAGAATGTTTTGTATATAGGTTTGCTTTGTCTCCAAAAATTGGCTTTTTTTATTTAATTGACAAAATAAAAAATCACCGAATAAAAATATTTTAATCTTTCAAAATTCTCATCAAGGTTTCTTCCAAAGCAACCTCTGTTGCTCTTTCTCTGATATTAGCTATAAACAATAGGATTAAGTTTTTAATTAGTCAATAATTACATCACATGAATAATACTTCATCAATACTTTAAGAGCCAAACAATGAGATAACCATAGTTCTATATAAGTAAATTTTTTTAAAAAGAAAAAACATGGGTACCTTCAGGTGCTTCTCTTCACAAAATTGGAGGATCCTGCCCTCTCATTGGCCTAAACTCGGTATTTCAGATGCACAAAGAAATGAATCTCACAAAGATTTGATTGGAAGCTTTTTCTATCGAAAGGCGAAGCGTACATTAACGCGATAAAATATACGCTGAAATATAGTTAGTGGATTCTAACTAATCATAAATTGTTCTTCTAATTTATTTCTAAAATAACTTTTACCATTAATATAGTATATTACATTTATATCTATCGCCAAACTATCTATCTAGAATAATGAGATTATTTAAATTATTTACAGATATGCACCGGCGCTTCAACAAATCTTCTGAGGCATCTGTAGCTGCATGCCATAATATATATATATATTATATATATATATTATATATATATATATAGAAAGAGAGATAAGGGAGAGAATGAGAGAGAGAAGAGGAAGAGAGAGATATGAGAGAGAGAGAGAAGAGAAAAAATGTATGTTTGTACCAAGCACAAATTTTGTGCTTGGTAGTGATGTGTCATATTCCCATCTACCCATTCTAATTCCCAACCACCCATGTAAATGTGGGCCCCAATTTCAATGAGTGGAGTGGAATATGTCACCTCACTACCAAGCACAAAAACTTATGCTTAGTACCAAGCATACCCACTTTTCTCATATATATATATATATACTAGTTTTTATGCACGTGCAGTACACGTGGTAAAATATCAACATATTTTTCTTTCTATATTTATTTAATTACTATAAATAAGTCAGATTCATCTTGAGTTCAAATATGTAAATTGAATTATTAGATTTACTATTATTTTTATTTAAATATTATTAAAAAAATAATATAATGGATTTTTAAGCTACACTGGAATGAATGTACATAATTGGGAAATTGTAATTGTCATTATGAACTATAGTTATAGCAATAAAGAAATCACATTTCTTATTGCATTGAAATAGAATTACACAATATTTTTGGATATTATAAGCTTAACTCGGACATCTTAATTGGTTTTTTAAGAAAAAAAATATGAATTTACATAATAATATCTTCAAGTAGAATAGTAAAAAAAAGTTAAATTAATACTTTATGTCATATCTCAAACTCTACTAATCCTAAGATATAATATGGAGTCAAACATGAATAGCAATATCATTATGAACTAATGTTCTAGTAAAAAAGAAACAACATTTATTATTACATTGGAAATAAAATTGCACAACACATTGGGACATTATAAGCTCATGTTTTATAATAATAAACAATCTAAACAGTAATCATTAAAAAAAGTATGACAAACATGATATATATATATATATATATATATATATAACAACATTTATTATTACATTGGAAATAAAATTGCACAACACATTGGGACATTATAAGCTCATGTTTTATAATAATAAACAATCTAAACAGTAATCATTAAAAAAAGTATGACAAACATGATATATATAAAATTGCACAACACATTGGGACATTATAAGCTCATGTTTTATAATAATAAACAATCTAAACAGTAATCATTAAAAAAAGTATGACAAACATGATATATATA